ACACTTGACTGTGCCCTTTCACTCATGTACATTCACCCACTCTCTCTCATGCATGCACATGTACACACACAACTGTGTTCACTCTCCAACCCATGCACTTGCCCACTCTATTTTGTGGCTAGTATCTATCCACCTATTCTCACATGCCCTCTCATGCCTTCCTTCACTCTTGCTATTTTGTATGCACACCTGCCCACCTACTCTCTCTCTCTCTTTCTCTCTCTCTTGCACATACACATGCACCCATCTATTCTCTCACGAGCACCTGCTCCACCTTGTGCACACATACACTTCCTCTCTCCTATACACAAGCCTATAATAATTTCTTGCTCCTTCACGGACTTCTTTCATGCAATGCATCTACTCTTTTGCACGTGCCTAAGCTCTCTCTCTCTTACACCCCCACACTAATTGGCACAGTCAATGGGCAGGGATTATAGCAACTGTGGTCCAACATCCCCTGGAGGGATCCAATCATCCAACCTCTGCTCTCTTTGCACAAATAAGGAGCAAATGGATTGAAAACAATCACCTCCAAGTGGCCAGTTTTTAATTTCTTAACAGCCCTGGCGTTTTCAGCATATATACAATGAAAAATTATTTTCAGGACTAGAGTTTTATCAAAGTTTTTGTTGAATCCGCATTTTTAAGCACACTAACCTAGTTCACGTGCTGTACAGGTGGATTCCTGTAGATCTCAACAGTTATCCTTCAGACTGAATTGGCCTAGAATAGGTTTCTTGGTTCAAAAAAATGCTGTACAAGAATGTTCACTTTAGGGGAAAGTATAAATATAAACCAGCATACGAAGTCTTAAATGCAATAGCCAGTATTTTGTTTGTCTTACATGATTACAGAAGGATGATAGAACTATTTCCCTTGCTCTACAGGCTTCCCTTTGCATGCTCAGTTTCACACTGTTTATAAGATTGGTTGTGCAACCAGCTGTGTCACTGGTCACGCAACGGGGTGCTGTTGGAGCCAACAAATACTTACATGATTTCTGCTGCGGAGTAGAACACTGGTCAACAGATTGTATTTTTAATTTACAGGCATGCTGAAATTGCATGGAATGAATTTATAATTAAACATATTTGAAACATGGACAAAATGAAAATAGACTGAAGTAGATCCTTAGCTCATCTTAGGGCATGAACCAGGAGATCCAGCTTTCTTGGTAGAAAAAATATCAGCTAGACTTGAGGTCTCGGTAACTTATGGCATGAAACCATTGCCCAAGGAACCGTATCTGGTTATATAACCTCAAATATGTTTACATAACCTTATAACCACAAACGCCAATCAAGTGTTGTGCCTCAGTTATCCACAGAAGACCTGGGAAATTGTTCTTTGCGGTATGAAAACTACTTATTCAGGTCACATATAATGAACCACCTGCACAGAGCAGACATAAGAGGCAAGCTGACCTCTGAGCCTTTTGTCATCGTTAACATCTACCTCACAGAAGTGTTGTGAGCCTTAATTAATTGGCATTTGAGATCCACAGTTGAAAGGTGCTGGCGGAGAACAAGGCAGTAATTACAAGAATTATTGTTGTTATTGTTATTAAGCTTTGACACACTTTACAGAAAGATGAAAGGAAAAACCGTCTGCTCAGAAAAGAGGTCTGCAATGAAATATAAAGTCTGCAAAAACAGAAAGGCTGGGGGAAGGGTTGACCTTGTCTAAGATCCTGTCTAGTGTGCAACAGGATTCTGAAGAGATGAATAAGCCACTTCAGGTACAAGTGGATGGTGCCATGTTCCAACATTCTTCTATAACTTCCTCCTTGTATATAAAGAAAGCAAACAATTGCCCCACCTACTTTTTCCTCTACTGGTTTTCTACTTCTGTGAAGTTTTTTTTCTCCACCAGGGAAACTGTGATTTATTTCTCTCTCCCTCCGCCTCTGTCTGTCTTTCCCTTTCTTATGTACATGAGTGGGCATGCACCCCCCCAACATCAAATTTGAAGGAAAGTACAGTCCATTCTGCAACAAATCTCTGCATGCCATTATTTCCTCATTTTGCTGCATATGTAAATTAGCCAGCAGTAAGCTTGGAGAATTTGACAACCTTTGTCTATGCCCTTCCAGCAGTCTGTCATGCCCAACCCCGCAAGCTCCTTCATTTTCATTTTTATGCAGACAATTCTTGTCATAGTCGAGTTATTTAAGTCAGATTCCAAATAACTGGAGGACAACTGAGCGGATGCTATTTCCTCCAACCCCTCCTCTTGCTGTCTTAACTCTATAACAACCCTTCCATCCCATATGCATGAGACCAGCCAATTATGATTCTTTTCTCTTCCCCGTCCTGCTTCTCCTTATCTTAGGGTTGTTACAGCAAGCTGAGCACCTGAAACACCTGAAGGCAAGCATGGGGCTGGGATGGAAGGATATATATATATATATAAAGTCTAAATTGTAACTATGACAACAATACTGAATTGCTGTCCTGCATCACAGTATCGCCCCATATTTTTACAGTTTCTCATCAGTAAACTTTTCTTAAGTGAACACGTTCATCAAATTTGAGATTGGCTTTAGAGTGCTTGAACCCTAAATGCTGGTCTGACACAAGGAGAACACTGCAAAATACGTAAGCATATAAACACACTATATTTTCCAAGTTGTTTGTAGGCCCTTGCCTGAGTAGTATTATATTGCTATGGCCTTCCCTGTCCCTAAGATCCTATTTATTTATTTATTTATTTATTTATTTATTTATTTATTTATTTATTTATTTATTTATTTACTTACTTACTTACTTACTTACTTACTTACTTACTTACTTACTTACATTTGTTTGTTTGTTTGTTTGTTTGTTTGTTTGTTTGTTTGTTTGTTTGTTTGTTTGTTTGTTTGTTTGTTTGTTTGTTTGTTTGTTTGTTTGTTTGTTTGTTTGTTTGTTTGTTTGTTTGTTTGTTTGTTTGTACGTACGTACGTACGTACGTACGTACATACATACATACATACATACATACATACATACATACATACATACATACATACATACCCTGCCTATCTAGTTGAACGACCACTCTAGGCAGCTTCCAACATACATAACACAACATATAAAATATAACAACATATTTATACATCAATATACAGGTTATTCAAGATGAAAAGGAAAGGAAAAAAATACAAGAAAAAAGAAAGAAAAAAGAAAGAAAAAAAGGAATCAGGTATTAACTGGAGCCTGAGTAAACATCCAAGTTTTCAATTGATTTTTTAAAATGCCCAGCGAAGGGGCCGCATGAATCTCTGGAGGAAGATTATTCCAGAGGTGAGGAGCCATCACCGAGAAGGCCCGGTTTCTTGTTTTTTCCTTCTAGGCCTCCCTCGGCGTCAGGCTCCTCAGCCTCACCTCCTGACTCAATCGGGTGATATGAGCAGATTTTGGAACCTTCCTTCTGTTGACTGTGTGAAGAAATATGTGGATATTGGAAAAGTCTTATAAAAAGCATACTGAAAGAATTCTCAACCACCTGTCGTGTTCCAGTTCAACAGGTTCTACCTGTCTGATGTGGACCTATTAAAGATGTGGTGCTTGACAGGAAAAAGAATGAATCAGCATAATAAGCCTGAGTTAGCATACTAAGTGAGTAAATACTAGGGATGGAAGGAATGCTCACTAAATTCCTTTACATGATCATATACTTCTATGAGGCATTGTAAAACCCTGCAAGACTTCCCATATCTAAGTAAGAATGAAGCAAAGAAGGAAGCTGATTTGCCTACCAAAGTCTCTGTAATTTGCATAAAATGTTTCTAATGTCCTTCCCTTTCAAAACAAACACATAGACAGCAAGCACGGAAGGACCAGCTAATGGTAAAGAAAGTCACAGCAACTCATCCACAATGATTCATGCTGTCAAATAAAGCAAGAGCCAGCCTAGCTTGCCTGATTTTTTTTTTTAAAATAACGGGCAAAAATATTCTATCCAAAACATCATTCCTGCCAAAATGAGAAAAGGAACATTTCTGATGTTCTGATCCTTATTCTGTGGTTTCTGATCCTTATTTGTGATGGGGAGCCAATTAAGGATTTATACTCCTACTGAATAGCAAGACCCAGTATCCTGTTGCTTTTTACCACACATAGAAAGAAAATCCTGGGGAACTGATGGGATGCTGAGGCCAGGCACATAACCAAGACACAACCAGCACTTCATAATTTAGCCATGGTGACTTCCTCAAACTCTCTTTGGCATAGGGTCCAAAAAAAATGTATGTTGGTCAAGGATTCAAAGCCAGGCTTCTAGCAGTATTGTACACAACACCCTATATACCTGGATGAGGTGGTCAATTCCACTTCTTCTCATATTTAAATGTTTTATATCTCAAGGTCCCCCCCCCCCAGATTTATTAAGGGATTTATGAACACTGAAAAGCTCATATCAAAAGGTGAACCAAACCAAACTCTTACCAATTGCTACAACAGGATTTTATTTCAGTATTATCAGAACACTACAGGATTCACTATCCTCCAGCATCTGTTACCTGAGAGGTCAGCTGTATCATCACCTAATGCTAGGGTGACCTTTCAAGTCATGAAATCTTACTTTCCAGTGTGAGTCGAAAACGGTTCTTGCTGGCGGATGGCAAGAAAGGAAAGAAGCTGACACTCCACCCTAGTCACCAATGTAATTGTTTAATTAGCAAGCTTCAGTATTCACAGTTGTCCATCTGGTGATGGATGCTTCAGGAATCATAAGCTTGTTTCCCTCCACCCTTTTTTTTTTAACTGAGTCTGCATGAGATGACATCTGGAAGATTCCACCAGCTGCATCCTGATTACATCATTGTGAATTATTTGCTACAAATTAGCTCCATTAAGCTAGCAGTATGCAACTTCGCTTGTATGGGTTTTTAATAGGCAACTCTTCCTCAGTGCCTTTAAACACACCCGTTTCCTGATTACAGAGGACAAAGAGATCTCTTTCCCCCATTTTTCTGCATCCTATCCCCATTTTTTTTCCAAGACACAAAGACTCACCATCTTCGTCGGTCTGAAACACCATCTCTTTGCCTTCTTTCCTGCCCTCGGGATTAGAGAGAATGAGTTTGACATGGACGTTTTTATAAGGCTGTAGGTTCTTGATCGTGTAGCGGTTGACGTTCCGCTCCATCTTCACGCACTCCCGGAAGGTCTGGTTGTGGCCAGTGCCCACCGCGTAGCGATAGCAGAGGGTGACGGTGTACGTGTGACAGCGGGTCAGGTTGTAGCCCAGAGGCTCCCACTGAAGCGTCAGCTGCCTGGGCTGGATCTCAGCAAAAGCAAGGCCTTTAGGAGCCCTCATGGGTTCTGTTGTTGGAACAGAAATAGAAGAGAATGGAAACCAATGGTGCATGGAACATTTGTACAGTGGTGCCTTGCTAGACAGTTACCCTGCATGGCAGTTTTTTCGCTAGACATTGACATTTTGTGATCACTATAGCGATTCGCAAAACAGTGACTCCTATGGGAGAATTTCGCTGGACACTGTTTGGTCCCTGCTTCGCAAACCGATTTTCGCTAGACAACGATTTTGACAGCTCCCTCTGCACTCGCAAAACAGGTGTTTTCAGGACCTAAGCTTCACAAATCAGCTATTTAAACAGCTGATCGGCGGTTGGCAAAGCGGCTTTCCTATGACCGATCTTCCCTAGACAACGATGATTCTTCCCCCATTGGAACACATTAAACAGGTTTCAATGCATTCCAATGGGAAATGCTTTTCACTAGACAATAATTTTGCTAAACAGCGATTTTGGTGGAACGGATTATCATCGTCTAGCGAGGCACCACTGTATTCCTGGAGACCAAGATGTTGGTGAACAATAGGAACAGGTTCGGGCTCTGGAAGAGACAAGTGGAGCAGAAGCAGCCAGCCCAAGCCACCCACTGAATTTTGTGAGGACTTGAACTTGAACACAAGTATTCAGTGCAGCCTTCAGCTTAACTAATTCAAAAGCCTCTACATCAGGTGACCTAATGCTTAGCTGCCTAGAGTGGTCTCAATCAGACCAGATAGGCGGGATATAAAATAAATAAATAAATAAATAAATAAATAATTTGCTTGGTACTTTTATAGCTCTTCATTTCTCCCAAAAGGTACCCAGAGTGACATATAAACTAAACAGCAGGTAATCCCAGCCTATAGGCTTACAATATTAGTACAGACATGTACATGTAGAATAATTATTTTTCTGTAATACTGGAGGATGGCTAAAAGTTGGCTGGTTTCAGCAGAACTGTGATGGAACAGCTCTGAGAAAGGCTGGCTTAGACTGCAATCTGTGAAAGACAGAATACAGTGGTGCCTCACTTAATGAGGATAATCTGTTCCAGCGAAATCGCTGTAGAGCGAAATCCTCGTTAAGCGAAAATAAAAAGCCGATTGAAACGCATTAAAACCTGGTTAATGCATTCCAATGGGCTGAAAACTCACCGTCCAGCAAAGATCGTCCATAGGGGCAGCCATTTTCGCTGCCTGTAAAGCAAGGAATCCGTCCAAAAATACAGTGGGGAGCCATTTTACACAGCCCGCGGCCATTTTGAAGCCGCCAATCAGGTGTTTTAAAATAGTCGTAATGTGAAGAATCAGTTCCCGAAGCAGGGAACCGATCACAAAGCAAATTTTTCCTATTAGAACATCGTTTTGCGATCACTTTTTAGTGGTTTCCTTGTTTAACAAAACAATCGTTCAGTGAGGCACCACTGTACTAATTCTTGCCTGTAACAGTAAGTATCAAGCATCTACTAGATCATACAGATCTACACAGATTATGATCATTCGGTTCATAACCCTGTCTCCCACAGAGACAAAACAGATGCCTTTTGGGCGTGAATGCAGTAGCCCTCTCCTGTTACTGCTTCCCAGCCACTGGTACTCAGAGGCATACTGCTCTGAAACTGCAGGTTGTATTGAACTCTCATGATAGCAGCCTTCAACAGAAGGATCTTCAAAAAAATCTGTATAATCCAACCCGTTGGCCATCATCACATCCTGTGCCACAAATCTCATAAACAAATCATCACCTAAATCTAACATAACCCAGAATTTTTGCTAATAGAGCAAAAAAAAATCTCTGCTAGCACGATAGCAAAGAGTTACACCATGGCTGTGTAAGTGATTGCACATCTGTTTCCCCCAACCTACATTGGGCGCCCTCTTTGCACTAACTCTGAAAAAGTGCAACTGCTAGTACAATTGGTAGAGCAGCTACGTGAATGGACCCAGGCCTGGATGGTGCATTCTGAAGTACTCTCTCTTTGTCTGACATGGTGGAGAGCTTGTATCATATCATATTATTCCTACATTTCAAAGAGAACTTAAATAATAGTCCTTTCAATGTATTCTCGAAGGCTTTCACGGCCGGGATCTGATGGTTGTTGTGGGTTTTTCGGGTTCTTTGGACGTTTTCTGAAGGTTGTTCTTCCTGACGTTTCACCAGTCTCTGTGGCCAGCATCTTCAGAGGACTGGAGCAGGAACTCAGAGCATGGGAGCATGGACAGAGTTCCTACTCCAGTCCTCTGAAGATGCCGGCCACGGAGACTGGCAAAACGTCAGGAAGAACAACCTTCAGAACACGGCCAAAGAACCCGAAAAACCCCCAACAACCAATAGTCTTTTCCTTCAGAAGAAACTTTTATCTACATTTCTGATTATGACATAATCAAAACTGTCTCTTCCTATCATGTGGGAAATGTTTGTGGTTATTCTTATGCTCTGGAGCAATTTTAAGCTGCTAGTCTGCAGCATCTACGAGAGGATGAAAACCCACAGTACTAGGAAAGCCTCTCAATATTTCAGGCAATGACAGCTCCCCCGTGTCTGTGCTGTGCCTTCTTCTAGTTAAATATTTGAAATTTTTCATAAACATAATTGAAAGAGACAGCGCAAGGTGAAAATCCAGACTTCGCAAAATGCAGCAGTAGTTTTCTATGGCAGAATAACTGGGACCAATCAATCTAATCGCCTTGTTTCTTTTTTTTTCTCTATAATGATAAAAAATCTATCAACTTTACGAGGGTTGTTTTTCTGTCACTGTTATTTTAAAAGTATTTTAGTTGTCCACATAGAGCCTGAATTTACACTGTCATGGCAGCCTGTAAGTGGGGATACATTTCAGTAAAATTACCATTTCTATCATGATCCTTTTTTTTACTGTTGTTAAAAATGAGAAACTGTTTCCCACAGGATTTTATCCATATTCCAAATGTGTTTTGCAGAAATCCTGTGTATGAATATACTTTGAAAGTACAAGAGACTCTTGAACTCTTTAGAGGTTGATTTCTAACCCTTTCCTATTGATATGCATGCTGTTTATGCAGTATTTTAAATATTTTTCCATGTGTGATAGTCCACTCTTTCACAAAAGAAAAATGCTCACAGCCGCTTTCTAATACTGACAAACACAATAGGCATTTCCATTCACAGCAGCAATATACAAGAGACAACAGCAGTCATATCAGCTACAATCCAAATTAAAAATAGAACTGTAAAGACCAAACTAGACACGACTTATCTGCCCTGGCCCAGTCATTAAGCAACCTGTCTAGCCCAACCACTGCCCCCATCAGAATCTCCACCCCTGTTAGCATGCTAGCATGCTAGTTACAGTAGGAAGGAACCCCCAGATTGGCAACAATGGACATTTTCTTTTACACACAGGATATACTGTACATTTGTGGATGATTCTGATCATAGCCAAAGAGAATTGCACTTCCTCCACTGCCATCATCTTGCTCACACATACACCCACACCAGTTATTTGTTTTTGAAAAAAACCAACCATACTAGGGCAGGAATGGACAACGTTGGCTAGCAACATGATTTCTAACCTGCAGTTCTCATCTTCTCTCTTTCCTCTCTCATCGTCGGCTATGCTGGCTTCATGGGAACTGCTGTCAAGAATATCTGGAAGTTGTCCACCCAAGGAGGGCAAACCACATTATACTAATGGCCTTGGAATTATCTCCACCACTTTCTATTTTAATGTCTTTGGGAAGCTTCTCTGTCATGAAGAAAGTCTATACATAATGGAAAACTGAGAAGATCAGCAGGAGGTAAAGCAAGAAAGTGTCCTCCACCATCTGAAGAAGTAGGCCACAGCCCATGAAAGTGGATGCCAAATACATTTTTTATGTTTCTGTGGTACTGCAAGACCCTTGATGTTTTTCATTTCATTTTGCTTTGTTTTTGTTACAGCAGTACAACATGGCTAATCCTTGGAAACAGGTGTTAAGGTACATGATATCTAAAGACTAAGGGTTAAACTAGGTACCACAAAAGAAGCCACATGCACTTATTCATATACTTCCTATATTTTGCTTTATAAGTAAAAACTGGTTGGACCAGTTTTTAACTTCTGAAGGGACATATCGGTGAGGGACATTGAAGTCTCCCTCACTTTTAATTCCCATAATTCGTTGTCCAAAATCCTCTCTTTCAATCTGCCTCTATTTCGATACCTCCAGTGAAGTTTAGAGATAAGGATGAAGATATAAGTTGGGGTGAACTTGGTAAAGGAAGAGAGATTCATAAGAAATTTCCTTAAACAACGCTGTTGTTCTTTTTCATAATCCAGTGGGAGGTACTTGAGACAGGTTGCGTTTTTGCTTGCTTGTTTATTTTAACAGAATTTTGGAAAAAGCAAAATTAACAAGTTTGCTCACCCAAGGGCAGGATTCCCCCTCTTCCCCCCCCCGCCCTGCCCCTGAAAGTCTCCTCATTTTAAACAGCTACACAACAAGCAGGCATAACGCGATCCCTTCTGTTCAGAGGAGACAGTGACGTCTTATTGGATTTCACCAATGCAAATGGGTTCATTTTTTATTTTTTCAGGAGCTATCAAAAAAAAATCTACAAATGCCTCTACATGTTTCACAGAAAGAATGTGAGGATAAAAAGCTAGAATATGGAGAAAAGCAGAAGTGACATATTCATCCATCCCCACACTGGGACCTTTGAAGTTACTTCAGATTGATCTTGATTCCTCCAGTCACTGGGCTGTCTCTTCTTATTCATTTCAACAATGGCTGCATGCTGGATTCAGCAGAAGGCCAAACTAATAACTTAATTGACCTGATATAGATCAATTTGTCTGGACTGAAGTGGAATGGCCAGATTCAGTGCTGAGGTGAAGTGAGGTGATTTCAATATGGAGCACAAATTGAACTGGAACGGGCAAAAATTGTTCTGGACTTCTTGTGGCTGTTTAAGCAAGCTGTCTCAAACCTATGTACAATATGCAAATCAAGTTCATTAATGCCTGCTTCATTTTTTCTGTCAATATGTTTCAGCTTTTGAATAATTATG